CAAAATAAAAAAAATTTCGAATGTAAGATAATAAAGATTTAATGTTATTTTTCACATATAAATGTATACTCTATACATGCATGTTATATTTTTATTTGTATATATATATATGTATATAGTGTATTAATATAATAATTACCATACGAATAAATAAATAAATATATAATAATTGTCATATGAATAAATAAATTAATAAATAATAATTGCCATACGAATAAATAAATAAATAAATAAATAATAATTTTAATAAATATATAAAAAAATAGAAATTAAATAATATAATTAAGTATATTATTCGGTATCAGTAAATAAGAACTGTAAATTTCTTCGTTTTATTCCAAACATATTAATGACATCCTGAATGAAAGTATCCTTGTTTGCGTTAGGTTAAAATATTTGTAGTACCTATATTGTGATCTTTATAGATTTACCACAAATTATCTGCGATAAATTATTTTACGTATAGGTTATACAGACTACAGAATACGACCTATCTATGATGTTAATATACGATAACAATGAGTATATTTTTATATTTATTTCATATCTTAAAAGTGATTTCAACAAATAATTTGCCTCGGTAATAAGGTAATATTGTGGTAATATTTTTTCCAGGGGGGGGGGCAAGTGCCCTGTCTTGCCCCCCCCCCAAATGGGCGCCCATGTGGGCAGGTAGAAATATGTGACCTGAACGTAGGTGATTAAATTGTACACTGACTGTTCTAAATATATAGAGGTTGTTGAACCAGGTTTTTTGGGCAATAGTAAAAACAAAATGTTTATATCTAGCGACAAATCCTACTAAGAGATTTAATATTTTGATCATTGGGTGGATCAATGGTATTTTATGTGGTGACGTATAAATAAAATGAAATCAGTATGAGAAAGTTGGAAAAGAGAGGGACATCAAACCACCTAAGTTATTGCATAATGAATTACAAAATTATATTTAAGAAACTCTAACATAATACATGATTGTATTTTCATTTTAAAAAATAACACTATGCTATAGAAAAACTATTTAACCAGGTATTTCTAAAAGTTTAAGCGATATTCACACTAAATAATTTTAAAATAAAAACTAACTCTGAAAACGATTTTTTATTAATAAATGGCAGTCTAACACATTCACTCATGTAAGTAATAAAATTATTTTTTTTACAACTGAAAATTTAAAACTTAAATTTAAATCTAATACAATTTTTTTGGATGGTACCTACATTTAAAAATGTTTACACAAATATTCACTATTCATGTTAGTCATACTACTCACAACAACTACTATATTCGATATCCCTATTATTACTTGCAACCTTTTAAAATTACATAATGTTATTCACAAACTTCTATACACATACGGTCAATGAATGCAATAAATTTAGTTTAAATTTTATACCTGAAGGCTGAAATTGTTTATGCTGAATTTAAAGTAGCAATTTTATTCATATTGCACGAAATTGAAAATTGTTTTACAAACAACTCAGTAAAATATTAAACCAGATAATGAATGATTACCAAAGTTCATCATGGAATATTTATCAAAACTTTATAATTATACTGAAGCAAAGTTCCCTTCAAAATTATAGTCAGAATTTAAGCATAGTACAACTATAATGCATTTACGCATATAAATTCTTCCGGCTTCTAGTTACACTTCAATTCTATGTTTTATTTTGTTCGTCCAAATATATTTTAATTTATACCTACACATTTTAAAAACTGTTTAAATTGACGTTTTTATTGAAATAAGAAGTCTGGACTGAAGAAGAAGAAACTTTAAATAACTAAGGAAGATTTCGTAAACGAAAAAATAACAGAAAAAATTTTGAGAAAAATTAATTGCTACGAATTCCTTAAATCTGTATCTTACAAATTTCAATCCTAATATTAACTTATTAACTAATAACACCCAGACGACAAACGATTGTAAATCACGAAAATTATAGTAAACAATAAATTAAAACATTTTTAACTATACGGTCTATACCTGTAAACTGTAATTGATGTTCAGATACAGACAAACCTAAATCTGTACAAATAGGAAGGGAGATGTTTTTTTTCTGAGACCCAACTGGTACAGTATAATTTTTTACATAGGACTCAATTATATATAATTTGAATCTGGAAAATACGCCAAAAATTTTAAATAATATCCATATTATGCACTTGCAACCTAAATTTGAGCCGCAGCCTGCGTTTGATAACCACTAAGCTAGTCTTTCGTTACAAAAATATACATTATAGTTACAATTATATAGATAAATATTCCTGTTCTATATATTCCTCATTATTTCGAGATAGCAATTAATAATATGATATATATTATAATAATAGTACCTAATATTAATATAACCATATTCCTCATATTGGTATAGAATGTATAGATGATAAATACTAAATACTGTAATTAATGATCAATAAAAACTAATGGGAAAATGAACGACTGAATGTAGTATTATTTTTAATGAAACAACAATTAATATAATGATAGACCATTATTATTGAATCTTAACTACAAGCATCTGGAGTACCTAATTTTCAAAAAAAAAAAATCAAAGGTTATCGTCGGTATTAACCTCAGATACATAATTTATAACTATATAACCTACTCGCTACTAATAAGTAATAACAATGTAACTAGATGAATATTCGATTATATAATTAGTAGATAATGCAGCAATTAATTTCATAGAAATTAGCTATGTAACTATTACCCATTAATATATTATATTATGGATTATGATATATGATAATTAATAATTCATTAAAAAAGTAATAATTTTAGTTATGGGCGTCAAAAGACAGTATTTTCTAAACATTACTAAATCTAAAATAAATTGAATAAATATTTTTTAAATATAGTTTCTTTTTCCTTAATTCTTAAATTTGTTTAATGTTTATGCAATAGATATACATATTTTATATACGATAGTTAAGTTAACAGCAGAAATTTTTAAAATAAAGTAATTTATTAATTAATACAAAATACATATTTATCACTTAGCCATTATAAGTGCATGAAAAATTGAAAAACCTGTTATTTGGGATAACAAAAAAGTCCCGTGTCCACAACTCTTGGGAGAACACTTATATACCTACTTACAAATATCCATACATATTTTTAAACCATTAATAATTAGCCAAAATAAACTAAAAATCTAAAATCAATAATTTTCAGTAGAAGCGAATGCCTAGACTATTTTCATAATCATTTTAGTCACAGTATTATTTTTTTTTTTTTTTGAAGATTTTATAGTAATAATTTTGACAAAATTCATAAAAACCGCAAAAATTATTATACTATTTAATAGTTTATAAAAAAATTATTTTTATTTCTAAGATTTCAAAATTTTATACAAAGTTCTTTAAATGTTTTCTAACTCATGTAAAAATAAAAAAAATATGCCAGAAAGTCAAATTAATATTTTATGAGCTTTTAAACATCAAATGTTATAAAAACTTATAATAGAAGGTCGTGCGAGCATTTTCGCTTGAGACGACGTAAAGGAAGATGATCGCTTAGTCTATAAAATTTCGCACTGCTAGCGCAGAATTAATGAGGCTCAAAGAGTTGATTATTGGTATTTTCATGTAAGTACTCTGAATATTGTGGATAGCTGGAAGTCGTGGTAAAATGCAATGCAGCATTATGGACAAATCCTGGAGCATTTGATATTATCCTCAGAATTGTCGATTGGAAAATTTGTATTATGTGTAAGTGGGTTTTAGCGGAATTTCCACTCGGAGACTGCGTAGTAGGATCCGCATATACAGAACTAGAGATTTTTATTAGACTGGACCACATTTTATGATTAATTCCGATACGTATTTATAAACTGTGGAGGGAGAAGGTGAAAAATTCTTAATATTATTTTATTTTTTTTAAATTAATTTGTGTATTTATACAAACTTTTGTATATTTGTGTTAAATACGTACGAATTTTTATTTAAAAATAAAAGTAATAATATATATGAATACTTACAGTTCAATATTTTTTTCTGTTTAAAGTCGAAATCTGAATTTTTTATAATTCAACGTATTATTTATATGCTGTTATATTTGTATATCATTCTATATTTTTATAATTAAAAATAACTAAAATTCAAACAACAAAGTTTACTTTTTAAAGTGATATAGGTACTCGTAATTAATGCATTTTAACATTGTATAAATCGAGAGAATACTTTAAAAATATTTATAAAACTAAATGACGATAATATGAAACCAATTTTTAAACATTTTCAATTACTTTATTGATGTCGATATTTTTTGCCATGATATGCCTCAATGTATGGAAGTAACAAATTGCCTATTGACGTTCCTGGTCATAGTGGTACAATACAATCAATACGTTTAGTTTTAACATCAAACTCAAACATGTACACCTGTACGGCTGTACACATGTATAGTACCTGCACTATTATAATTGGAACCATTTAAGAATTTAAGATGAGTGAAAAAATAATCTAAATAATAAAATATAAATGAAACACTATAGGTAATATTATTTATGCGTTTCACGTTATATTACACTTTCAAAAAATAAATACAATGTTTAGAACTTTAGATACTTCTAAAAATAATTCCAGCTAAATTATAATTTATTATTATTTTACCAAGAAACAAATCATAATATTTATTTTGAACATTTTTACTCATTTTCAAATATATTTTCTTGTATAATATGTGATATTATTATGTATTTATGTGTTATTAATGTTATTATTTATTATTACATATTATTATTATGTTCATTTAATATATTAATATTATTAATTGTACTGTAAATATTAGTACTGGGCGAGATTTTCCCGGGCCAAGACCCAGTGGCCAGTCGGCTTCAGGCCGTAAGTTCCGCACTTCCGCCTAAAACTTAAAAGGCAGATAGTCTGCTGATTGCTCAAGAATATGATGTTTAATTATTAATTATAATATAGTGTAAGGTCGTGCAACTATACTACTGAATTCATATCGATTGTCAGTTGTCACTTGTCGTCGAACAGCTGCTTTGATATCAAATTATCAAAGTCTGTTGGCATGTGGTCATCATGTGGATAAAATTGGTCAACGATAACAAAATATGAATCTATTTAATTTTAGGTATAATAGTTATAATAATAGTAATAATACTATAATGACACTAACGATAATGGCCATGAATTAATGTTGTCAATAATGTAGACTGTAGTTCATCACGCATCAACAGGATTGTAACAAACAATAATCAATGTGTACCAGTATCCTACATTCATATCTGCGTAACGTTCTATCAAGGCTGAATGCTGGTCATAATAAATTAATAATAGTGGGGTAAGTTTCATTCGCTTTTACTGAAGACGGTGAATTATTCGTGTCGTCTTGTGAAACAATAGAATTGTACCTAATTATTAACATTTTTTATTTTTTGATGCTCCGCCATCGCTGTTTATTTGGCTAGTCTATGTCTTCAAACTGTCGCATTTTATGGCGTTTACATTAGATAGCCATAATTAAATCAACCGTTCACGCGGAGATGGAAGGTATAGATGTAGAGTTTACAGACGTATCCCTAACGGTCAATGTGTGGGATCCTTTGACGACAAAGACGTTAAGACCAGGTACAATACATATTATCCATCGTCAAATACTATAAACAATAGAGAAAAAAAGAAATTTTGTTTATATAGTAGTTGTGGCCAAATTTTTTTGATAAAGATCTATAGAAAATGTACATTTCCTTCGAGAAGTCATTAAAATACATATAATTATTGTTAAAATTGGTCACTGTGAATTATTAGAGGATTACTATTTACTAGAATATATTATGTAATAATAAATTATTTCAAAGAGAGATCAATTTTAAATTGCCTGTAAGTAATCAACCATTTGGGCTCTCCCTGGTTTATAGTATATAGTTACCACAATATTGACTTGGGTAAATTTAATCATTATATTATTAAAATTATCATCTGGTGTTTCAAAAAAAAAAACTATTTTAAACAATGTCAGTGGCTCATTTCTTAGAAATCAAGTGGGCGCTATAATTGGATGTTCTGGATCTGGAAAGTCAACTCTTATGAATATTTTATCTGGTTACATGTGAGTATTTTATAAATAATCTATACATCCAAAGAAGCATGGAGAACTGCAGCAAACCAATCTAAGGATTGAAGACAAAAAAAAAAATACATCCAAAGCATAATCATAAAGATATATCTAATAAAAAATATAATTTATATTCTTATGTTAAAATCAATAATTTTATTATTTTACACAAAAATATTTTATTTCATAACATTTTATATTTTTAAACCTATAGGTCAAATGGTTACCAAGGAACTGTTACTTTAAATGGAGCACGACGAGATTTGCTATCATTTAGGAATGTTTCAAGTTATATCATGCAAGACGATAGTTTGCAATTATATTTGACTATTCAAGAATCTATGGAAATTGCAATGAAACTTAAATATTCAATTTATAAATTAGATGTTCAAAAAAGAATTTTAGTGAGTTTCCAATAATTATTGAAACATAGTCAATACATTTTTAATTAGTGAAGTATATCAGTAAAAAAATGATTTTAAATTTATACACATAGAATATAGTAAAAACATTTCTCCATTTTCACTCAGTGATTTCATTTTTTAAATTAATGATTTTTTTTAAATAACTTATCATAACAACTATAATAAATACAATTATCTATTTGGTAAGACATTTTTTTTTTAACTAGTTATTTATAGTTAATAACTTTTTAGATAAAAATATTAAAAATAATTAATGAAACACAGATAATATTATTCTTTAAAATTTTTATAATAAAATTAATATAATCACTAAATAAAATACCAAAAAGTTTCAAATATATACATTATATATTTTATTACATAAGTGTGTAAATCAAAGAAAAAATTATACTAGTATGCCTCCTTAATCAATACTTGTTTTATTTTTTCAGATAGACAATTTACTTCATAATTTACTTTTACATGATAAACGAGACTCATTAGTTTATAATTTATCTGGTGGCGAGTGTAGGAGATTGACTATTGCTTTAGAATTAGTTCGCAGCCCAAAAGTGATGTTTTTTGATGAGCCCACAACGTAATATGCTTATATTAGTAAATAATTATTGATAAATTATAATTTTTATTTATTTTAATATTGAAATTGTTATTTTTGTTGACTAGAGGTCTGGATATAGTGTCTGCAAATAATGTTGTTAAGATTATGAGAAAATTGGCTGACTCTGGGAAAACCATAATATGCAGTATACATCAAGCTTCGGCTTCTCATTTGACAAATTTTGACACGGTTTATGTACTTACACCTTCAGGACAATGCATGTATAATGGAAAATCTTTACAAATAATTGATTATTTTTCACAACTTGGATTTCAATGTCCTCCATATCACAACCCTGCTGATTATGGTTGGTGGTTATGCTTCTAAAAATATATATAGAAACCAAAGTATATTTAAATTTATTGAACTATTTATTCAGTGATTGAACTGAGTTTGGGTGAATATGGAATACCCATTGAATCAATGATTGAGCTTGCTGGTGAACAAAATAAGAATAATCGACACACAATTGGTAAGCTATTTTTAATCAATATTATTACAGCTTAAACAAACTTCATATAAATTAAACAACATAATATTATTCATTGTTCAATTTATTTCAGATCAAAATGTTAACTGTGTACCTGTAATTTATAGTCGAGAATATTCTCCAAAATATTTTCCTGAGCTTTGTATACTTATATACAGAACCTTTTTAACTACTTTTAGAGATCATGTTAGTGATTGATAACTACTAGGTAAACTTATAAATATATATATATTTTTTTTAAGTTTTTAGTTAAAGTAAGACTTTTTGTCCACTTCTTGTTGGGAAGTATGTTTGGAATTGTGTACATAGGACTTGGGAAGAGCGCTATGCATGTTCGTGACAATGCAGTATTACTATTTTTTTGTGTAATGTTTATGACTTATGTAGCAGCATTTACCATGTCTATAAAATGTTAGTATAATAGTATATGAATAAATACATTAAATATTAATATCTGTATTACTGTTTTAGTTTATAAAAATATTATCATAAACTAAAATATTTATTTATATACAATATAAATAGTTAATAATTTAATAATAATTTTTTTGTGCTTTATGTTAAATTCTTTAGTTCCATTAGAGTTATCAGTGATGCGGAAAGAATATTTTAACAGATGGTATTCATTAAGTTCTTATTACATTTCTGTCACACTTGTGGATTTACCAGTACAAGTAAACATAATTAGCACTTTATACTAATTTATCAATGATTAAAAATTAAATTAACTATAAACTAAATAGTTCATATATTTTAATTTTGATGTTTTGTTTTTGTTTTTTGCAGATTTTTTGTACTTTTTTGTTTTGTTCATTAATATACTTGTTATCTGGTCAACCTTTTATATTCTTTAGGATTTCAATGTTTCTGTTGATATTTATTGTAACAGGACTTATGTCACAAGCAATTGGAATGCTTGTCAGTACTTTATGTAAAGGATTTGTTGTAAGTTGTTATTTGCAAACTCATATTTAAAACTGTTAAATACTGAAATAGTAACAATTTTATTCTAGATTAATACTGTCATTGTTGCATTGATATTAATGTTTTGGACCACTTATGCAGGTGGTATGATAAGAATATCAGATACTCCTAAAATATATCGATGGTTATATGATGTATCGTTTATGAAACATTCTGTGCAAGGTGTTCTACATTCAGTTTATGGTTATGATCGTTCTGTATTGCCTTGTCCAGTTGTTAGTAATTTAATTATATTTAAAAATTATATTTTAGTTAATTTTTAAAATAAAAAAAAATCATACTTATATCACAAAAATAGAACATATTTTAAAATCATTAAATAAATTCAAGATATCAAAGGTAACCAATACTCATTTTTTAGGTATACTTATATAAGAAAATTTTTATCAACAATATTATTGCATAACTTTTGTTCAAAATATGGAATTTCATGAATAATATATTATAAAAAGTTATAGGCTTATGATTATGTAAAAAATACATAAAGAAAATAATATTATAATTTATATTAATTAAATTATATTTTATTTAATATTTATACATTTTCTAAATATTTTATGGTTAAAAACTAACTAAAAGTATAAATTGTATTAATAAGTAAAACAAATTAAATTGTTTCGCTCTTAAAATAATGTTTATTTATTTATTTATTTATTTATTTTTTTTTTTACGTTGGGAGATAACGGTTTAGCCATGCATATATTCATAATAGTCATAATACTAATTGCCAATAGAATAATATGTGTTTAAGGTTAGTTCAGTTGTTGAATTATGTACTTGTATGTTAAATCTAGAATAAACAAAATATTAAAGGTGTAGTAAAGGCCCCACAAAGCCCTGTCTAAACCTAGAAACTGACAACCTCAATAATTTAAATAATATGTCATCATCAGT